AAGTTTGTTGGACATTTGTGTCAAACAGTTCGCACCTGGAATAGAGAAATAGAAAAAAAATCAAAAAGTGAATTTAAATTTAGAAAAACAAATTTAGGAGTACTCTAGATTGAATAGAATAAAATGGATTCAATGTCAAAACATTTGACGAAATTTAAGAATTACTATAAAAAACACCATACTATACAAAGCATAAAATCCTCTATTTATAAGACAATTTCGAATGAAAAATTTACATAACATTATTATTATTATTTCCAACCACCCAAGCTGATTACCTTATTGGCATGTCGATGCTATAGAATGGATTTTTCAAGGCGAAGTCTGCATAGATTTCATACAACCTCTTCAGTAGCAAGTCCTCACTCGTTCTTTTCGGATCAGTCACCACCACAAACTTTATTCCTTGATATTATTATTATTATAAATAATAATAATAATAATAAAAACTCAATTATTTATTAATCATTAATAATAATAATTATTATCATTACCAGTGAGAGTTTGGAATGCATGCAGCTTGAATGTATCAGTCTCCAGTAGCTGAATCCCAGATGAATGAAGCTGTGGGGATAGCTGGGATGCTATGGCATACAATCTGTATGTGGTGTGTGTGTGTGTGTGTAGGTCTGTATGGATGTGTGTATGTTTGTGTGCATGTGTGTGCGTGTTTATGCAACTTAGTACAAATGAAAATTGTGATATAATTTAATGGTATTGGATATACATATAATATATACACATATACACAATAATATGCAAAGACAGTTTTTAAGGTTATATTAGATTATTAAAGTTAAATCAGTGTTTGGTAGTTATTTAGGGAATATAAAAAGTCTCTCTTTTTAAATTAAAGACCATTGAAATTTATTCACAGATAAGTTTTTATAACAATGACTTAATAATGTAAAGAGGCAAAATAAGAAATGAAATAAAATTCATTAAAATTAAAAACTTTATAAAAAATTACAAATAAAATAAATTCATAAAAGAGCTGAACCAACGAGTGGAACATCCCTGCAAGCATGATCTTCTCATTGGTGGAGAGCTTGGGCCTGCCAAACTTGATGTTCATTGGGTAGTTGGATTCGGTGTTCAGAAACTCAAGAACATCTTTCTTGACGTCAGCCTCATCTCTGCAAAATCGGCCCTCAACTGGCTGGCCGTTTATGGACAGAACTGTGTGGCCGACTGGAAGTTAAGTTTTAATGTTTAGACAATTTCTCATGGAAAAAATATCAAAAAAGTAAAACATAAAATGCCTATCTCACTGAACGAAATAACTAAAATTATTACCAACCAACCGACCTTTGATGCCATCCCTCTGGCCGAAAGCCACGACAACTTTCTCATCATAAACTTTCAGGACAAGGTCCAACGGGTAGCTGAAAGTTTTCTCGACTTCAACTTTCGGCAAATTGTAATCATGCTGATAAATTAATCCCCCGGCTCGACTAATTATCCAAATTGAAAAAATCGCCATTTTCTAAATTATTTTGATGTGATTTCAACAATTAAATTGTTTTTTTTGAACACTACCACAATGATAAAACGTTATGACAGTTGGGTAGAGAAATTTTTAAAAGTGAATTTCCTTAATATTTTTTCAATTTTCATCCTCAGACAGGGAGACTCATCAGTTGAAAATCATTGTATTTACGAATAAAATTATGAACTAAAAGTAAAATGTATTTAATTTTAAATGTTTAATTGAAAAATTCACAAAAAAATGATGTTCAATTATGGTTGCTAACAACATTTGGAAACTTTACAAGCGTTTTAATCATTAAGGTTTGCTGGTTTGCAACTTTAAATGTATTTTGTTTTATTCTATTAAATATAATATTTTATTAAATTGTGATCATTTTTAAAGTAATAAATTTTAATTAGTAATTACCGAAGTATGTACAGACATTGTTTGTGTGGACTTTTGAAGGTTGTCATTTCAAAAAACTTTTAAATTATTTATTAAATTATTTCATTTTTTACAATTTTTTATAATAATAAATATTGAGGCTGTAAAATATAATATTGATTTAATTAAAATTGTAAAATGTATCAATAATTAATACAAATTGATTCACAAATAATGACGTAAATTAACCTTTTTACATGGTATAATAAATTATAATATAATATTAGCATTAGCAAGACCTAGTTCTATTGCTGCACTGACGGGGTTTGAATGCAAGCCAATCCTCACCCATCACATGCAATGTGTGTGAAGCAATTGATGCATAGATCCACAAAGACTGACACGTGTTTTCAAATTCTAATTCAACCTTATTTCATTTTATATATTACTAAGTAGGAACTACTTTAATTAAACAAGTTATCAATCCAATTGATGAATGAATATAATATTAGTTCTATTATTAAAACTTTAGGTGGGCCAGTTAGTTGTACCATCAGGGCCTTTCACCAATCGAATAATCTACCGTTTCTCAAATGACGCCCGACAATCTTATAGGCAAATGCAGAAAAAAGATAAAAAGGATGTTCGTGCCATGGGATATGTACTTCTGGTAAGATGGTTATGTCTTTGTATCTGTGAATATGTGTGTATATATATGTGTGTGTGTGTGTGTGTGGGTGTGCGTGTGAGAGGGAGAGAGACAGGGAGTGGGAGGTGAGAAAAAGAGAGAGAAGAAAAGAGAAAGAAAGAGATTTGTATAGCTAAATAGATAATCCTAAAAATGACACTTTTATAAACAACCCAAACACACAAACACACATACACAAACGAGCACATGCAAAACACACACACACATACAACTGATTAGGTAATCCCTGTATCTGCTCTGATGTTAGGGATTTGGCAAATCAGACGACGCAAGTGGAAGCTGGAGCTGATTGAAGAGATGGAAAGTAAGGTTAACCATCCGCCAGTTCCTCTGCCTTCAGAGCATGTATTTTTATTAGTATTTTTAGCTATTTTTTCTTGTTATTCTTTTATTATTATTGTTGTTGTTATTATTATCTTCTTTTTATATACTGTATTTCAATTTTCTTTGTTATTTTTTGTAACGTCATAGAGCTTTTTTTAACTAATTTAAATTTTCGAATTTTTTTTTAAACACTTAACATCACCGTCCAATAAACATTAACTGACGCCAACTGTTATTACCACATCAACAGCATGATTTCACACTACTGTCACAAATAACATCAACAAAAATTTGGCCCTACATCACTGAAAAAAAAAAACCTCACCACAACCCATCACTACTACAACAGCCCATCAGAAATAGCTACTTTGGACTACCGTAAGGTGAAGGTCAGAGGAAAGTTCGACCACAGTCGTGAGGCCTACATACTTCCCCGGGTCAACATACAGTCCCTGGATAAAAATGCACCGACGCAGGGGGGTGGGGCTTACGTTGTCACCCCATTCAGGCTTGAGGATGGAAGGTTTGGTGGGGCGAGTGTATGTTTAAGGAAGTTTCGTTACGATTAAGTGTTTCATGTGTTAGAAATTGATTTGAGTTTACACACACACACACACACACGCACGCACACACGCACACACACACACGCACGCAAACTAATTTCCAGACACACACGCACACACACACACAAATTAACCTCCAGTGATACGATTCTAGTAAATAGAGGGTGGGTACCACGTAGTAGAATTGATCCTGAAACAAGACGAACCGGACAGGCTAGTGGAATGATCGAATGAATAAATAAATAAATGGATGAATAAATGAATGGTGAATTTTTTTTTATGAATGAATGAATGAATGATTGATTGAATGGGTTTATAATTATTACTAAAAATTACCAGATTGATGGAGTCGTTGACTTAGTTGGGGTTGTAAGAACTAATGAGAAGGTATTACATATGCTTCGTCATCATCGTCATCATTATCCTCATCATCCTAATCATCATCAGCACCGTCATCATTTTCATCACTATCATCATCATCGTTTTCCTTCGTTTTGTCATTTCTTTTCTTGATAGCATCGGCAAAATAATCTTCAACTTCACCGCACTTTATCATCATCTTTCTTCCCGTCATCATCATCCTTCTCGTCATCATCATCGTCTTCTTTTTCTTCTTTTTCTTCCGCCTCGCCATCATCATTTTCTTTTTTATCGCCATCATCATCTTCTTCTTCTTCCTCCTCATCATCTTCTTTTTCACTATCACCATCATCTTCTTCTTCCTCACCATCATGACGTCATCAGCGTCCCCAGTACTCATCTACCCACGACGCCTCCCGAAACGTTTGGCACGTCAGAGATGTTGGCGGTATCGCTCAGCAACTTGGTACAAGTCCCATATTCATAGATGCCGATGCAGGTTGGTTGATTGGTTGGTTGGGTGATTGGTTAGCTGATTGATTGATTGGTTGGTTGGCTGATTGTTTGGTTGATTGGTTTTTTGGCTGATTGGTTGGTTGATTGGTTTGTTGGCTGATTGGTTGATTGATTGGTATGTTGGTTGACTGATTGGTTGGTTGCTTACAGTCAATCAATCAATTGAACTCTTAAAACAGGAAGTACGGTAGAGGGCGGACCTATTGGAGGTCAAACAAAGGTCAGTCTAAGGAATGACCATCTCCAGTACATTATCACGTGGTTTGTTTCGATGGTTTGTGGTTGCTTGTTTGTGTCCAAATAAATTTATTGATCTTTCATTCAGTGGTTCATTCATTTGACACACACACGCACACACACACACAAAAACACACACAGGTTTTCTTTATCCGCAGCAACCTTTTACATGTGGTTCAAAGCTTACTGGAAAAAATGACGCAATGATGAAAGAATGAAAAAGAAACAAATGAAAAATTGTATGGTTTATTGAATAAATGAATGATTGATTGATTGATTGATGATTGATTGATTGATTGATTGATTGATTGATTGATTGATTGATTGATTGATCGATTGATTGATTGATTGATTGATTGATTGATTGATTGATTGATTGATTGATTGATTGATTGATTGATTGATTGATTGATTGATTGATGATTAAATAAATCCTCATTTTATCATGTTTTGGCCATATTATATGTTAATACCATTATTGAATCATAATGGATGTACTCTAGAGCATGAAAATATATGGTTTGGTAATCGAAATCTCGAGACCCCCCAATACATAGCGTCTTGAAATCGTTCATTTGACACGCCACACTGAACATACACTATAGTTCGATTTTTTGGAATGTGGGGCTGATACAGTAAATTAAGCTGGTAGTTTGTTTGTTTGTTACTAGATTCATGGAGTACTCAACCGAAGCGTTGAAATGAAAATAATTTAGTATGTAATATTTTGAATCGCTCGAATTGCTATCAATCGGAATCATTTTCGACAAAATATCAACGACTTCACATGAACAAATTCAACATTTTTCAATAGTTTTGATAAAAATGAATAAGTACTTGAGAATTATTTCTATTATAAATTGTTATTAGGTGATAATTTTATATTTAAATCAGAAGAAAAACAATCAAAGCGTTAGAAATACTTATAACTAGTTTTGTTATATTAGACATCGATTGAATTTCAAGTTTTTGCAAGTCTTCAATCTCCGTAAAAAACTCGATTTTTTGTTTGGGTTTATTTTTATTAATGGAAAGTGTCCGATTTTCAAGAAATGTTTGACTAACGGTAACATTAAATATATTTTTCAATATAGATGACTTAACGTCTAAAACTACAAAATTTTCTGACATAGCGACAGATGAAAAAAAATCATTTCAAAAAGCAATATTCAGGTTAATTAATATGAAAAACAATGCAAAACTTGAATCGGATCTCTGGAGGTCACGAAAGAAGTAAAAAATTAAATTAACAATACATAACTTAACGCTAGTTCAATGTTTTCACTGAACAAAGTATCTCATTGCAAATTTTGATTGTTCAGTCTTTCTGGTTCTTCAACATTGTCATGAAAAATTTCAAATGTTCAACAAAATTTTTGGAGTTTGTTTCCCTTCAAACTCAGCGGGCTAACTTGAAACAATGATTTAGCGACAGGCAAGTTAGGATACGAAGGAGGTGAAATCTATCTCTTCCTTCGTTGCCAACATTTTGTAGGTTGAACGTTCACCAGGGCAACAATCTAAGCATAAATTTTGTCGTTCATTTCTAGGGAATGATGATGAAAGAAAAATTGGTGAGTAAGCGTCTTCTTCGACATCAGGTATGTTTTTTGAAGGTTTAAACAAAATTACTCGGTGTTTGCTTGAAGTGAAGATTCAGAAGCAAGAAGATTAGCAAGCTTATCAGGCATAGTTTTATTGCTAATTTCTGACGTTGTTCTGTTGGGAGAGTAATTGTCGAAATGAATGGTGTAAATTGAGATGGGAGATGAACAACTGTCCTCATCCAATATGATGGTAGGCATTGACCAGACTGAAGTGTTTGTAGGGTTGTCCTTAGCTAGAGTGATATCATCAGGCTTAGTTTTTGGGCTGATTTCGCATGTTAATTTTCTGGAAGAATCATCGTTTAAATGAATCGGATAAATTGAGATTGGAGATAAGTTACTGTCATCGTCTAATCTAATAGTGGAAATTGTTTCACCTAAAGACTTGGAGCTTACGTGTAAACTGGACTCAGCTGACCAGACTGAAGTGCTCAGGGAGTCGTTCTTAACTGAATTTTTAGTTAAAATATCACCACCATTTGACGAGGACACCACCTCATCGCTGCTAACATTTTCCAACTTATGAATCACTTGAATGAACCTTTTCCTGAATCTCTTAGCTTTAAAAATCTCCATGTTTCTTCTGTTCTCGAAATGATTGAGTTTATCGTTGAGTTTATTATCTTTTTCTTCCTCCTTTATTTTAAGATCACTGACGTTCTCATGTTGACTAGACAGTTGAAGAAAATTATCAAGTTTTGTTGATTTAAGAGGTTCCAGCAGGTTCTCAACAAGTTCATTAAATAGATTAAAACGTTCTGTAGACTGCTCGACACCTTCATCAATGTTGTTGTTGGCGTTAGAATTCTCATGAAATTTCATTTTTATGATGATAATTTTACTACTTTAGCTGCCAAAATATGCTTAAATATCTTGCAAAGGATTGTTCGCTTTGAATTGATGCTAGCCGAATTAAAATGTTAAGTTGGTGTGATTCTGTTTGTGACTTTGTTGGCTTTTAGATAGCAATCAATGTATTGTTAGTTTGTTATTCTATTGGTTTTATTTTCACCGAATGTGTTCAAAGATATGAAACCTGAAAAAGCTTAGCGAGGAATGTCTCATTTTTACTTTTTTCCTTCTTATATACCTTTCTAAACCAAATAAAATGCACTTCCAATTAGTTGCTCCTGATTGACTGACTCGATAATTAGTACATACTGACATTGTGACGTGATAATTACACCTCGAAATGATCCTACCAATTGACACTAATTAATTAATTAACCACCCAATTAAGAATTTTTAATTAGCTGACGTGGCACTAATTAAGCAATGTGAGATAGATTAATACTAATTACTTCAACATGAACTTCTCAACTAATTAAAAATATAATTATCATCAATTAATTAAACCTTCTTACTCATCGTCTGGCTGGCTGATGCTAACTGAGCAATATTGATTATGATAACATATGTAGAAAATTTTACACGTAACATGTCCGTCTCTGAGGTGTATTGATAAATTTACATCGCTAGATACATTTTTCAAAAACAATTTTTTTAATATTTTTACATTTTTCTTATTAATTCAGCCAAAATTAACGTTTAATAAATTGATATAATAAATAATTTTGCATCATATATGACCATAATTTCAGCATTGATCATATTATTTGAAATTGCATACACCGTAGCAATAAAAGCAAGTTCATAAAAATTGTTTATCTTTTACTTTTACATTTCGATGATGAAGAATTTTTGAAAAGAAACATCCATAGAACTTATAACTTTTTGTTGGTTTCTTTTATTTAAAAAGTTTATTATTCTAAAGGAATTTAACTCATTAATTGCTGAGTAGTAATAATAATAAAGAATGGATAGATGTTTTAACTTCTGAACAAATAAGTCTTTTACTCGTATAATTCATTTTTAGTAGAAAAATATACAGAGTACTTATAAATTGATTATTTGAAATTCAATTTAGACGATATGAATGAATGAATGAAATGAAAATATATACTCTTAAGAATTCATTTTGTCATATTTCCAAATTCAAGTACACACAATGCCAACGCGAATACATTCTTGAAAAAGTTATTGAAAAATATTTTACGTTCATTTTTATTCAAAACAATTATTTATTTTCGAAAATTCTGATCAATGTCAAATATTTTTTATTGTTTATGTAATTAATTTTTTATCTTTATCATCATCAGCACACACCACACACACACACACACACACACACACACACACACACACATACACACACACACACACACACATATATATATATATATATATATATATAAACCCACACCTTCATAGATATATGAATATTATTTGTAAAACAATTTTATCTATTATAGTTTAATGTTAATAAATTCTAATTTTATTTAATACATTAAGTAAATTACAATTTAAAAAAATGCTAAAATCATTCTACATCATATTCTTTATAGTTCTTCAATTCAAAATCATTACTCCAAATTATTATCATTACATACTCTATAGAAACATTTTCAACCTAAAACTGCACACCTTAGATATCCCAGATTTTCAAGAAACTTTCAACTACGACTCGCGTATTAAATGTGTCGCTTTGTGTTCAGCCATGGACAACTGCCATGGCTGTAACTACCATTATGAGCTAAAGAGGTGCACGCTTTTCGCTAACAGGACAAAATTGGTTATGAAGTTTGTGGACGTTAAAAAAGTTGCGTTTTACATGGTAATTTTATTTCCATTTTAACAGATTAGTTGTGATATTTTGTTTATTGTGGGTTATGTTACTTGTTTTAAAGTTAAAATGAATGCAAGAATGCTCAATTGACCAGTTATGAATTTATAAATATTTTTTCGTCTGTCAATCCAATAAGATTTGAGCTGTTTGTTGAACACAAAATTTCAAAATAAAAAAATAAAATAATTTTTCTTCAATACAGAAAAAGGAAAATAATGTTTCAAAGATATATTTTGACGGTATCGATAATTTCCTTCAAATTTGACTTTTAATTATTAAGATTTTATCGTTTATAAATAAATAAAAAAATAAATTTAATTTAGATTAAAACTCGATAATTTGAAATTATTTCTAGGATATTTTTACACACATCTACCCAGAAATAACCAACAGATACATTGGATGTTATGTCGATCAGATAGTTCGGGACCTGGAGCACCTGGAACCAGACGACTATGCATTGACCAACGAGAAATGCTGGAAGATTTGCTCCAACTACAATTACTCTATTTTCGCCACTCAGGTTAACTTTTTCGTGTCTTTTCTTATTTTTTGTATTGGAACTGTGAAATTAGAAAAGGATGAGGTATATATTTTTTTTAAGTTAACAATTTCTTACAGTAAACACTTTTTCGTGAATTTCAGGGAAATTAAAGAATAATTTTAAATAACAAATTAAGATTTTAGCCAGGAAACATTCCTAAAGATATACCATGTCGCATTAAATTTCTTCAAGCAATTCATCTAATTTTTATTATTCAATTTTTATTGAAAGATCTAAGACATAGGTACGAAACTTCTGGAACTTTCAAGTTTATCAAATCTCAAATTTATTTACCATATCCAAACCTAAAAATAATTTCCAACAATTTTCCCTACACAGTTTAGAAGAAACTGTTTCTGTTCGACTTCTTTCGGAAGATACGGGCCAGGAAACGGATGCACCATGACTTGTTGGGGAGCCCAGGATCAAATATGCGGAGGTAGCAACATGAACAGTCTCTATAGCAGTTAGTATTATTACTACAATATTTGCAGTATTGTTGCAGTCTTCTTTTTTCTTAAATTTTCCTTTTTAAATAATTCTCAAAAGTATCAACAACCAACGGAAAACCCGGTAACTGCAACAGCAGTACCAAGCACTTTAACCATTAGACCGTCGCATCGTCTAAATATTTTAAGCAGCACTAATATTTTTTTTCTTAGTTATGTTTTCTCTTTTATCATCCCAAAGAGCCTGCCATATAAAAAAAGCATGGATAAAACGATTGTGTAAAATTGTTGGTCAAAATTATTAATTTTTTTCATAACTTACAAAAAGTTTTTATTTCAAGATAACTTAGCAAGATTAATTTGTCAAGTTGTTACGAAATTTGAAACTTGTTTTTATAATTTGCAAACATTCATTCAGTATGCGACAGAGGAATGTATGGGCTGAACTGCAGTATGAAATGTCCCTGTGGTGTACAGTGCTTCTGTCATCGGTTGAATGGTTCAAAAGTAGTTTAATTGTGTAGAAAAATTTTAATTAATTTTCGTAATTGTTTTAGCTTTTGGGAATAAGAAAAATATTGAAGAGATAATTGTATTTAATAGATAAATAAATACATATGTGTGTCGTGTATGTGTTTTTAATAGATAATATCTTGAATCGACCAGATAGTTATCATTATGCATTGTGAGTTGTGTTCGATGTTTTTGCAATGTGGTGCTGAGGAAACGTAGATGAAAGCGTAATAAAGTTAATAAACCAACGAAAGTGAATGCTGGGCAAATGCTAAAACTAAGATGTGAAACATTAAATATTTCACGTCACAATAGAATACATGTTTATTACATCACAATAGTGTCACAAGTTTGTATCTTTTACATTAATAAATGAATCACGTTAATAACTGAATCACATTGAATAATGAATGCATCTAATTATGAAAATTAATCGTCTTTATTCGATTTAACACTCCGAAAAAACTTGAAAGAAATTACAAGTTGCAAGTTGCATAGAGCATATAGAAATCATTCTAAGTGGAGAAGCATAGTTGATATTGTAATAACTCAACTGTTACCTCAAAAAATTACTATCATAATAATTAATAATAATCATAATAATTTAATAATAATTAAATAATCATAAACATAATAGACTATACAGGCCGTTCACATTTTGATAACCACAGTCCTTGAACCAATTCCCTGATGAATACCATGGAATTACAAAAAAGCTGATGAATTGTTTATATAGAATAAAAAATTTGATGATAGACACAAACGGACTAATAGGTAAAAAGTTATCAAAAACGAATTTCGACTGTTCTTCATAGCTATTGCCTACCTTTTTACTAACCTGCCTCTATATGGAGTTACTTTTTCCTCAGCGATAAAGACTACGTTGCTAAGTTTAACGCTGACATGCTTAGTGTGAAAAATTTTTCAATTTCTTCAAAATATTCTTCACAAAATTTGTTGAAGTATAAACTTTTACTTGATTTCTACCCATTCAGCTTGACCATCAACTCAAAAATGCGTAAAAATATTAACAAATGAACATCAGCCAACACCCTCCCTACAAGTTACACTTCACCATCATCCTGCAGTGAGTAACAGGAAAAAACGCGTAATCAAACGACGAACCATAAACACCATTCAGACGCTGACAAAAACAAGAATTGTACCAATTCCCAGATGAATAATTGAAAGCGCAGTGGAAAGTTGGATGGAGGTCGTTGTCTTGATCCGGTGTGGAGAACTTCATTCCATTTTGAGTGAGATATGAATACGAATTGTTCAGTGCATCGCATTTATCTCCTCCATATCCAGAAACGTTGAGAGTATATTTTTCAGATTCTGGGCCGACCTGCAATAATTTTTTCAACTGAAATTTTTGTTAACGATTCAAAATTTTTAGCTTTTTGAAAATTTATTTCACATGTTCAATAGTCAATAGAATTCCCATACTAAATTTCCAAAAGTTCTTCATAAGTTAGTGGTATATTAAAAATTAACAAACCTTGAAATGATCATATTCATCAGAGTACCATTTACCACTGATGAGAACTTCAAACTTCAACCTGTAATCAGCTGACGTTGTCAATCGGTGCATCTTATCCAAGCCCAACCAGAAGTTTTTGTTGTAAGTTCCAAATCCAAACCGTCAAATTATTTTATCAATCCAATTTAACAAGCGTTTAGTGATAATGTTTTTTTTTGTGCAATTTACCTTGTACGTGTTCCAATTTTGGTTGAAACTCTGCGAGCCATCAATCCTCTGCTGAATGACAATCCATCCATTGACAGACGTGACAGGAGTTGGGCTAGCAAACGTTGGAACGTCCAACAAAATTGTTTCGTTGACTGCACTGTAAACTAATTTTATCGAAAACACGTGTTTATCTAAAATGTTTCATTTCTAACGATGTACCAGTCGAAATTTTGTTTAAGAAATTTGAAAAAAGATTTTGTTTAAACCTTTAGGATCAATACAGACGGACAACGTCCCGTTAGCAGTGAGGCACATATAGAGAGCATATATTTTATTTGTTGATGCCAGATAGTGAGTTGGAACAAGAGTAGAACAATCCGCCATTGAGGGTAAATGGAAAATTGCAGAATTTGCTCGGGGTTAAGCTAGCGTTGTTTTCTTCAATGATACATTTATGATCGAATTTAAAAAATAAAATTGTTAAATTTACTGCGTTATAGACAAATTTCAGTTTAAAAATCATGCAACTCCTAGTTACAGTTTCTATTCGTAAGACATTAATAAAAACTTACGAATTGGCTGATTTGACAATTGTTTGGCAGCTGTCAAATAAATTATGATGAATAAAATTTATATTTATACGAGCAAGAATTCATTAATACATGCCAACCTAATGCCAGGTGAGCAGCTTCATCCTAAGTTTGACATTCGAAATATAAACGTGGTGGTAATTGAATAATTAAATATTAAAATAATATGCATACAAATTGTTCAAAAAATTTAATTTTATTTGAAACAACTAAACAAACTAACTAACTTTGTAACCTCGACAATTAATCATATTCAGAACAATCTTGAAATGAACATCGCAAGTGAAATGAAACAGTTGGCAGTATTTAGTTGGATGACTAGCATTGTTGGATACGTAGTTGAATGCGTTGCAAGTGATGTTACCATCAGTGGGAGAAACATAATGAGAACATTTGGAAGAACATTCCAGTAAGGATCGTATGTTGGTTGGTACTGTGGTAGGTTCGGAAGCAAAACACATGGGGTTGTCTGGCTCTCCTATCATTCCATACTTCTTATCAACTGCTGAAGCTAACGAGTTGAATGTTAATGATAATGTAGTGATAACCAAACAAGCTGCTATTAACCCCATCATTAAATTTAAAATTTTTATTCTTCATTAAAATTTAAAATTCAAACCCAGAACGTAAAATTGTTAATTTAAGTAACAGGATGAAGATTTGAAAATGACAATTTGCTGAATCAAACCAAACTTGAAAAACTAAAAATTTTTTTACGCATTTATATGTTAATGGTGACTATATACATATATTATATTATACTATATTAAGAATATAAATCATCTACGTATATTTAATAAAAAATGTATTGGGATTAGGTTTTTTTACTAAGCTGAAAGCTTTTGATCCTTTTGAGAATAAAAGCGTTAGAAAAAAACCGAGAAAATGGACGGCTTGCTTTTACTTCAAGTGATCAACGAAAAGCTTTTTCAAAATTTCAAAGAAAAAGATAAGACGTGACGAGAAATTTTGTTTTGTTTGTTTAACATTCTCCATCTCATTATTGTTATTTGTTTGGATGAATGTTTTTATATTATTATTATTGTTGTTGTTGTTTTTTAATTGTAGTCGAAAAGTTGCTTCGCCTGGCATCGCATGCTGCTTTTGCGCGCTAACCTGGTTCAAAGGCCGTCTTGAGCATTTTCAAATCCTCAAGTCCCTTCCACGACTAATTTCTCGGTATGCAATTGAAATTTTGTAAAAAAAATGGTAAAAATTGAATTATAGTATATAAATTTAATGTTGATTGAGATGCATTCTCTTTATTATACAATTAGCTACAACCAAAATTTATCTGCCACTTGGTGTGGTGATTCCATGTCAAAAGTTTATAAAGTGAAGTTTCAATGATTATAACACGACAAAGCACTTACTGTCCAATATTTCATAGCATTCATTGCCAGAGTTAAAAAATTCTAAAATATTAATTAATAGCTAAATTTGATGTTTAACTATAATATATTGCTATTGAGACAAAATATAATCTTCTATTTGGTTTCTTAAATCACTAAATTATGCAATCCTGCTATTAATATCAAAAGTTTTCTTTAAAATTAAAGCTATTTATTTTTAGTAATGATTTAAATTACTGAGTACAGTATTTTTAATAACATTGATTATATCAACTTAAAACTTCTAAATCTGCGATTAATACGATATTTTAAATAATTTTTTCCTGACCATGTACAAAGAGGGTTAGACTTAATTTTCACTTTCACATTAATGCACTTTCGGTAATTAGACGCACCGGATTAATTTATTTACTCTTCATTTTTTACGGTTTTTTAACATTACGGCATCTAAAAATGGCCGAACAGAACGCTGCGGACGGCGAGGAAAAGATCAAACTAACCATCAAAACGACTAAAGAGCAAAAGGTTTTGTACATCAATCCAGATGACAACATTACCTCGGTTCGTTTATGCGCTTTTTAGTTGAAATTCTCGCTTAATACTTGTTAAAAAGTTAGGGAAAGAATCAGTTAATTTTTCAAGTGGTTGTATTCAATTCTAATTTTTAAACTTAAAATTAGTTAATTAATGTCAGGTGTTAATAAATTACATTACATGCTAGACACGTTGAGTGATAAATGGGTTTTTATATTACACTGTTTTTAATTAAACTAGAAAGTAGAAGATTTTTAGTTATGTTTAGTAGTTAGTTTTAACTTTTTTTTTTTTAGAATTTAGTTAGTTAGACTTTAAGACTAGAGAGTAGAGTTTAGTACTTTAGTTTAGTTAATTTAAGATATAAAATTAATATAAGATTACATTACACAGATTTATTGTATTTTATAGTATAGTGTATGAGATGGATGGATTTTGAATTAATATTTAACCAAGTCATTTAATGACATTTTATAAAGTTCCAATCTTTTTTTTATTATTCCTGATTCATAAATTGTTTTCCATCAAAAAGCTCAGAGAAGAAGTTTCAAAGTTGTTCGAAGCTAACAAAGAGCTCATCTGCCTAATTTTTGCTGGAAAAATATTGAAAGATGGTGAGTCGTTGCAACAGCATGGCATCAAAGATGGCGTAGTTGTACATTTAGTTGTTCGAAGCCCCCCGACTACTGCCCCAACCCCATCAAATCCGTATACCTCATCCATAAATAGCCCCACTGTTAGTTACTAATTTCTTTATATGGATTTTTATTAATTGGATTAGTTTAGCTGACATGCAAAGACAGGTATCTGGTTTTTTGATTTTTTTTATAAATTTTTTTTCACTTTTTTCTTTGAGTTTTTTATTTTTTTCAAAGCTTATTCATCCATCCAATTGGATTTTTTTTTATTCAATTAATTTGCCTAACCTAATTCTATCATACACCCTAACCTATATATAAACAGACCAACAGAAATACTGGATCGACCATTGGTCCTGGTTCTAACAGTAGCAGTATTGGGGGAGGTAGTAGTCCATTTAACCTATTTGGATCTGATTTAGGAGGGTTAGGAGGTTTAGGCGGGGGTAGTTTGGCTGACATGCAAAGACAGGTATGTGGTTTTTTGATTTTTTTTTATAAAGCTTTTTCAAAGCTAATTCATCCATCCACAAACTAACCAGCCAAACAATATGTATTTCCACTTATTCAATTATCAGCTAATTCATTCACTCATTTATCCATTCATCCACTAACTGACCAACTACTGACAGCTCTTGAGTAACCCAAGCATGATGCAGCAAATGATGGAATCACCACTTGTTCAGCAGATGCTCAGCAATCCTGATTTCATGCAGTCCATCTTCACCAACAATCCACAGATACAACAACTCATGGAGGCTAGTTGCTCTGACTTTTCCCCGGATGTGATGTTATTCAAAATTTCCTATTCATTCATTCATTCATTTATTTGTTTCCTTCCATCTATTATATGCAGAGAAATCCTGAAATATCTCATCTGTTGAACAACCAAGAGCTAATGAGACAGGTTTGTTGGGTTTAATGGATGATTGGTTGATCGAATGAGTGACTGATTGGTTGAATGAACGTATGAATGAGTGACTGATTGATTGATTGGCAGACAATGGAGATGGCCAGGAATCCAGCCATGTTTCAAGAGCTGATGCGAAATCAAGACAGGGCACTCAGTAATCTGGAGGTTTGTTGATGGATGGATAAATGGATCTATGAATTGATAGATGGATGGATGGATGAATTAGTGAATGAATGAATTTAACTCACATCGATGAATCCATCTACTGTATCATAAATTTATTTACCTCCTAATTCAGCACTCATCATTCATACAGCAACAGACAGCACACAAATGTAGTACATTAATTGGTTAATGGATTGATTAACTTATTGACTGACTGACTGACTGATTGGTTGATTGATTGATTGATTGGTTGACAGAGCTTACCAGGTGGTTTTGGAGCACTACAGCGTATGTACAACGACATACAAGAGCCGATGCTGAATGCTGCCACTGAAAGTTTAACACTCAACCCCTTTGCCTCATTGGCTGGTAGGTTATGATGACGATGATGTGGGTGGTGATAATAATGATGATTATGATAATGGTGATGATGATTATTCCAAAAATAATCTTGACTTCCAGGAGGGACTGCCAACAACAACACCAGCACGACCTCTCAGCCGACTGGCCAGGAAAACAGGGAACCCCTTCCCAACCCCTGGTCCACCAGCACCACCAACAGCAGCAATCTTTTCGGTGGTCTTGGTAGTGGCGGCACCAGCGGCACAACTACAAATACTACCACTGGTGGTGGTAACGTCAGTGGGTCTGCTCTGCCTGATAATTTTGGTTAGGATTGAAATTTTATGATTTTGTTGGTGGTGGTGTTGGCCTCTTAGGCTGTTGCTTTGTTATTTCTGAGGTTTTGGGTGTCAATTTTTTAAAAGTTCACCGTCTTTAGTTCAATGAATTTTATTTCACCATTCTCACTAAATGTCATTCATCATTTATACTTGATTGATGATATAGTTTTTTTTTGTTTGCATCATTTGAGCAACCCACCATTTCAATTTCTCCAATCTATTTAGTTGTTGTTTTTATTATAATCCCTACCAACCAACCAACAAACCAACATCCACCAATCCCGAAATAGGTCAACTCGGTGGGATGTTACAGAATCCTGCCATCCAGGGCATGATACAACAGATGACCTCTGACCCCCAGCTCTTGCAGCAGATGACTCAGTCGCCCATGTTTCAAACTATGCTCAGGACCATGTCAGCTAACCCCGAGTTGGCCCAGCAGGTTTGTGGGAGTGATGATGATGACGATGGTGATGCTGATGGTTGTGATGATGATAAAGTTGGTTGTAATATAGACGATGACGGTAATAGTGAAGATTATTGTTATTACTATTATTCTCTGGATGTCCTGTATTATTATTATTATTATTATTGTTATTGTTATTACTATTACTACTACTACTACTACTACTACTACTACTACTACTACTACTACTACTACTACTACTACTACTACTACTATTACTACTACTACTACTACTACTACTACTACTACTACATTTATCTGATATTACAGAATAATCCCTTGATGACAATCAATCCATAATGATGACGACGATAATGATGATGATGATGATGACGAAGATGATTACGATGACGACGACGATATTTCTGAGAAGGATAATGTTGATTTTTATTCATCCTTTCTTCAGCATAGATTAAATGATCCATATCTTAATAATTATCATGATAGTAATAATGAGGCTGATGATTATCTTGGTCCCCATCAGGCCCTACAGAGTAACCCACTGCTGGCGGGCAATCCACAAATGAGGGAAGCGTTGGCAGAAAGTATGCCCACCATGTTTCAGAGGGTTAGTCGGGTGATTGATTAGTTAGTAGGTTGATTGATTGATTGGTTGATTGATTTGTTGGTTGGTTGGCTGGTTAGTTGATTGGTTCATTGATTGGTTGGCTGGTCTGTTGATTGATTCGTTGGCTGGCTGGTCGGTTGGCTGATTGATTAGTTAGTTGGTTGCTTTTTTGACTAATTTACAACAACAGCAAACTCACAAACAACACTGACAACGACAAAAGCATCGCATTCACTCTTGAACAGATGAACAGTCCAGAGATGCAAGCCCTTCTGACCAACCCACGGGCTATGCAGGCCCTCGTGCAGGTACAACAGGGTATGGCCATTCTACAACAGGAAATACCCAGGTTGTTCACGTGATTTGTGTTGTTGTTGTTGTTGGCGGTGTTGTTGTTTATGCTGCATATTTTTATATGAAAAACTTGTTTTGTTGAAGACTTGTTGTCACATCACGTCATGTTTATTTTTTTTTTAATATCTTTCAAACAGTTTAGGTCTTGGCATTCCTCTTCCTCTTGGATCATTCTCAGCAGTCTTCAGCACAGCAGCTCCAATCACAACAACAACTACTGCTGCTACTACTGCTGCTGCACCATCCACAACAACTGGTACAACTACCGCTACTTCAACATCGCCATCATCTACTACCACCACGCCATCATCTACTGCAGCACCCACAGCTGCCACTGTTGGCCAGCAGCAGCAGCAAATGGCTAACTTGCTTGCGGGCTTGATTGGCAATGCAGACATCAGTAGCGCCATGTCTGATATGATGAGGGTCATAGGTGGTGGTGGTAGTGGTGGTGGGGGACAGCCAGGAAGGCCAGCTAGCTTGGTTAGTTAGTTCGTTGTGTTTGCTTTGTGATTTTTGCTGTTTGTTGGTTCATTCATTTATTTCTTTGTTATTTGTTTATTCTTTTGCATCCATTTGTGTGTGGAAATGGGTCCAACTGATAGTCCAATTTGGTGCAAAAAATTGATGGCAAAGAAAACAACGTCCTACTTCAGAGGAACTGGGTTTTTAGACGCTAAACAAAGATTGATTGATTTGTTTATTTTTTTGTTTATTTATTCATAATTATTTAATTTTTTTTTTCATTTACTCAATTATTTATTTATTCATTCATAATTTCTACATATTTCCACTTCAGAACGAAACGCCAGAGCAGAGGTACAGACCACAGTTGGAGCAGCTGGCTGCCATGGGTTTTCTCAACAGAGAGGCTAATTTACAGAGTATGTACCTCTCTCTATGCCTGTCTGTCTGTCTGGGTGTTTGCCTGTCTATCTGTCTGGGTGTCTCTGTCAGGCTGTTTGTCTCTGTGTGTTTATATGTCGGTCTGTGTGTTTTTGTCTGTCTGCGTGTTTTTATGTCTGTCTGTGTGTTTTTATGTTTGTCTGAGTGTTTTTACGTCTGTCTGTACTGATTATATAATAATAAAAAATGACAAACAGGTTTAATAGCCACATTTGGAGATGTTAATGCTGCCATAGATCGCCTTCTACAGCAGAGGCACAGATGAAATAATAAGAATAAAAATAATAATAACAGTAATTATAAAAATTATATTAAAAATAATAATAATATTGTATGATTACAATTTTTTATTATTATTATTATTATTATTATAAAATGATACGGTATGATATGATAAGTTCGTATTTATGAGAGACTAATTGTTATAATTGTTGATTCTTTATTTTTTAATTATTTTTTAGTACTATTCTTCTTTCGATGTTACAATGATGATGATGATTCGTTATCATTATTATTGTTATTATTATTGTTATTATTGTTATTATTTTTATTATTATCATCATTATTATTGTTGTTACATGGTAAATGTGTTAGAAGCATGTGAGTTCTTTAAGAAATAAAATTTAAAAAATTGTACTTTGATTGATTTTCTCTTTTATAATTGTTATTAAAAATAATTATTCTAAAAAATTTTTATGTGACTTGTTTGTGTATGTATGTTTGTGTGTGTATGATGTATGCGTGCACGAGAGAGAGAGAGTGTGCGTGCGTGCGTGTTTGTATCTGACTTCCAGTATAATTTTTCTCTATTTCATTTTATTCGTTCTTTTTTTCTCTTCAAATGTTTCCTTAAAGATATTATAGCACTGTTTAGCAAACATTTTTTTCAATAACTTATTCAAATATGTACCTATGTTTGATTAAAATGGTTATTAATTAATTAGTTGATGAATTAATTATTTGATAAACTGGTTGGTGAATATATTCATCATTGCTATGATTTTTTGGTTCCTTGGCTATCTGCAAAAACATTTGCACCCACAGCCTTACGCAGTGTCCGAATTGAAATCTGAGATCTACTTATCTTAACTTACCTGCTCATTACAATTATCCCTAGCCTTCTCAAATTACAAAACTCAAGAGCCCAATTCAATCGCCGTTCGGCACCCGCCCTACCACCTACATTACCTTTGGCTCCAACTTAATAATGTAAAACTTGATTAAAAACTTACCTATTGATACACTTACATCGTTCCTATCATTACATGATGGTTGCACTTAACTACCTATTGTATTAAATTACTCTCAGCCTCTGTAGATAATAAATTTAAATAATGTGTTATGAAAATAAAATTACGCTCAACTAATGTAAAGAATGTATGTATTTACCTATGCATGTGTGTTGTGTGTAAAACGCATGTGTATGATGCAAGTGCAAGAAAGTAAAGATGAAGAAAGAGTTAGAAATTTACGCTGCCTACCTATTCAACTACATTACTGTTGAATGTTTCCTACCTATCCTATCCACAGTTACAATTATCCTTATCTAACTTACCTATCAAATCTTAATGTAATGTGTGTGTGTGTGTGTATTTGTGTTGAAAAACGCATCTCAAAAATAAATAAACAGTAATTTCGGCAAAATAAACACACACACAAGTCTGGAAGTAATAAGTAACAATATAAATAACGAAAACGTCTAGAAATAATAAATAACCTGACTAAAATATGATATAACGAAATTTAACAAAAATACAACAAAATGAATATTGTGTTGAATGTCGTGTTTGATTGCTGTTGTTGGTGTTATGCTGAACAAAAAACAATACAAAACATTACAATACAAATAAACTATAATGAAAAATTAAAAACCAATAACATTTAATTAATAAACTTTTTACTGATGTGAATGATTGAATTGATTGTAAGTATAATATATAAAAGAAATTAAATAAAAGAAATGCATATTTTCATTTTTCAATAGTTATGGGAAAAAGGAGTGATCTCGATTAAATTTGAATTAACTAGTTAAACGTATACACATTTCCGAGCCAGCCCGTAGGCGTTCGTTGAATTCATTTTAGTATAGTTAATAAATTGTTGTTAAGAACCTATAGTAATGTTTCCTATACATCAAATAAAGTTTTTTAATGATGTCAATTATTGAAATGATAAGAATAAATGAATGGAACTGGTATAAATAGGAGCCGAAAACAAGTTGAAATCAGACCGGGCGCTTTAGGGCATTCCCTTAGCGTCTGGTCTCATTTGTTATTCCTTTATTTTATTATTTCTAGACGTTGTTACATATTATTTCTAGAAGTGTTCGTTTATTTTACAATTATTATTATTGCGCGGTTACACACACACCACACACACACACCACACACCACACACACACACATACATACATACGTACATTCGTTGTTCTCTTGTTCGATGTTTTACTTTCTTTTCCTTACCTTTTTCTTCGTAATCGTACAAATAGGTAGGATTAATACGTAAGTTGAGCTATTTGAACATAGGTAGGTGAGTTAATTTAGTGAACATAGGTAAGTTAGGAACTCTATTCTTTCTTACGTTCTTGTTTATTTGTTTTGTTTTTTTTTTGTCCATAACAACACCAACAACAATCAAACACAACAATCAGCACAATATTCATTTCATAATATTTTAGTTAAGTTATTTATTATTTCTAGTATTCGTTATTTATATTGTTACTAATTATTTCTAGACTTCGTTTATTTTACTGTTATTATTAGTAACACACACACATACACACACACACGAACATTTGTTGTTTTGTTTGCTTGATGTTTTTCCTCTTTTCCTTACTTTTTTCTTCGTAATTGTACAAATAGGTAGGATTAATTCGTAAGTTGAGCTAATTGAACATAGGTGAGTTAATTTAGTGAACATAGGTAAGTTAGGAACTCTATTCTTTCTTTCTTACGTTCTTGTTTATTTGTTTTGTTTTTTTTGTCCAACACAACATCAACAACAGCAATCAAACACGACATTCAACACAATATTCATTTCGTTATATCTTAGTTAAGTTGTATATTATTTCTAGACATTCGTTACATATTATTTCTAGACACTGTCGTTTTATTATTAACCCCCTCGTGAACGGCTGCCTTGACGTGGCGAGGAGGCTTCTCACAATTAAGTTCTACTTTTTTCGCTTGTTTGTTTTTTTAAAAATGCAATTCTCTATCTTTTTCATGGTTGGATTTTTTAACGTAATTACTCTCAAACATAGGTTACATTAGAATATGCAAATATAACATACACAAACAACGGTACAACACAATACACAAACAAACATACAAATACATATATAAATGAATGTATACATATGCATTAAAATTCAAGAAATGAAAAATAAACTAAATCCAAAAGTTTTTAATTTGGGATGATGCGTAGTGGAATACCGTGAAAGGCGAGCGGTTGGTATGTATGTTTGTATCACGTCTGTACAGTGTCAGAGAGTGTAGCGTGTATGTGTTGTGGAATAGTTGGCGGAAATGACGTCACTTTATTATTAGTCAACAAACTCTTTATTAAAATAAAGCATCCTACCTTGAATCCGTCTGGAACATGTAACTCAAAGCAATTTTCTAATCAATTTTTGACAAAATGCTATATTATGCTAGTGTATCAAATGTTATGTGACATACTGAATCACTATATCATAAAATTAACACAGCATTTTAAGGCGTTGAAGATATAACTAACATTAATTAACTGAAACATTTGACAACGGACAACTGAGGAATTTTTAAAAAATTCAACGTAAAACGTTTTGATTAAGAGAATATAGAAAAATTTTCAAATTCAGTGATAGGAAATCTGAACACACGAATTTGCCAGCATTTCTTATTATTTAACCGGGTAAATTTGGTCGAGAAGTTGTTGGTTGATATTCTTCAGTTGGTTACGGTGCCTGTCTTTTTAAATTTCATCATATTTATTCCAGATGAACTGGTAACAGAAGTGTTCTTTGGTTGTTGAACAATTAAATCTAGGAGCTGTTTTCTTCTGAAATGAAATAATTTTATTGATGACGAATAAAATCAGCTGTATTTAATGATAAAGTTGATATTTTTAACAAGGCTATTATGTAAAAAGAATTTAGTCAGAAATTTTCTGATTAACCTTTTCCTAAGAAAGATTGTAAATGCAACAACTACCAGAGAACAAATAACCAACGAAACGAGGACGACTCCGACCAAGGTAGTATTTCTTTTATTCTGTTTCGGTTTCCTCATTGGTGGCCCGTTAGCTTGATTGGAATGAAATCCACGAATTATTGAATTTTGTCGAATTTTTACCATCATATCATTTTTAGGTTTACTTGAAAAATAAATTATTACAACTTATTCTAGACACTTTTAATACAAATTTTTTACAAAATCATACTTTAAATTTGCATACAAGACAGATTACATATTTTCAAACAAAATTCTCCGTAGAAATGCATTGAAACAAACTTTTCCTGTTGTGTACGGTTAGTGTTCCGCGCCAATTATCATTTCTATAAAAGCTATAACCTGTACATGAACAATCATACGTTCCATTGGTTTTGAAATAAATCGAGGAGCCTCTTGTTACGAAGTTCTCTTCATCACGGTTGTCATCACCGTCCTTTATACAATGCCAAACATATGCTGTTTTTAAATCCCACTTCTTATTCTCTGCTATGCAGGTAACCTTTTCGTTAGTTAGAACCTCCTCCTTGTCGGTTTTCAATTTTAAGCCATCTGTTTTTCAGTCAAAAAATTTTTTAAAATAGATTTTTTTTTAAATAATTTTGTAATTATTATTACAGAAAATGTTTCTACTTACTTTCATTATTGTCATTTTGAGATAAAGTAACATTTTCTGTAAAGAATTCGGTCTCAACTTGCCAAACAAATCTATAGTTCACTGGTTGCCAATAGTTAAAGTATTCGACAAAACCAATGCAGTAGCCTAAGGAATCGGAATCTGAAGTGTTGGTCGGCCAGAAAACTTTTACAAGGCGGTCATCTTGAAGTAAAAATAGTTTCGCGGGGCCAAACTCAAGTCCCACAGCCTTTAGAGTTATACGAAGCACATATCCTCTTTTCCCCGTAAGATCACAACTATCGTGAGTGTGATATCTTGATTCTGTAACATTAATTTTATCACTGAATCTATTGAAAGTATTTCTTTTGTTTCTATAATGTTAAAATGAGTTAATATTTAACACCTTATATCTTTAATTTTATCAATAAGAAATAAAAATAATTATTTTTTACGAAAGGAATAAAAATAAAGTAAAAAAAAATTATTTTATTACCAAGAGAGACTACTAGTTGATATTTGGTTGAGCCATCCTCACACACATTCTTGTAGAGTCCTGAACTTTCGATTGTCGTCTGGAATGTTGATGAATGTTTCTGGCTGGTATGAACTTTATACCAACCTGGTTCATTGATTGATTGATTTGAAGTTTTCATTCTTTAATTCCTTCTTTCATGAGGTTTGTTTTATTCTAATTAAAAAACAAATTAGCCTGTAGAGTAACAGGGGTGGGGGTAAGCATGGGTAGTTGCCGTGGGGCTACTATAAGAGGGCAGGCACACTTTCAAAGTAAGTACAATTTGTTAATTTGAAATGAAAAATCTTTCGGATGAAAAACGTTTGAAACTGAAATTTAAAATTTAGTAAGTAGGTTTTTTGTATAAAAAAACCAAAATATACACAAACTTTTTAAGTTAAGGGAGCAAATGAGGGATTTGCCGAAAGGTATTTTTACCCCCCCCCCCTCCATCTGAGTCGGACTCGTTAAAAAAAATGAAGTATGTAAATGTTAACCATATTGTGAGCAGTCATCAAATTTTTGGAATGCTACGAGTTTGTTGGCATTCGTTATGACGATAACGTGTGTGGACTGAATGTCACCGAATTGTGGATCCATCCATAAATCCTCTTAACGGTCAGATATAATTTGTTCTTAAAAATTCATCAAAACTGTAATATATTTTCAAGTTTAATTAAATGTTCGTAAAAAATTTATTATCATTGCTTTGTTACATATTTTCTAATAGCGCAATTTTAAAGCAAAAAAATTTTTCTAATTTATAAAAAGTTGAAATTTTAAAAATTCAAAAACGAAATCTTCACCAAATTCATCATAATCCAAATTGTAGTTGTCCGGAATGGGCGGTAAAAGATAATTTGTTGAAGACTCAACCATTCCGAGTAGTAGCACCATTTGGAAAAAATCCATCTCTCAGCTTCAGCTCTGTCAGCGCTTATGGAGTTTAAAATCGCTTACTTCATTCGTATGTTATTCGTTGAATGGGGTTGAATGCTTAAAAAATCTTTCATTTTTTTAAAATAAACCTTTATTAATTTAAATAATCACACCTTAGATAAATAATTATATATATATATAAGAGAGAGAGAGAGAGAGAGAGAAGGTGTGTATGTGTGTGTGTTTATATAACCAAAACATAATATAACCAAGGACCAAGTGATATTGGTTATATTATGTTTTTACGTGTAATAAATATTTCTGTTTACTTGCCAAAGCCTTTACAATATATTAAACAGTAGTTTCAAAAACATCGGTGAACACACATTGATTCAAGCAAATTTACGTTGTATGTGTATGTTTAATGTATAGTCGATTTTTAGTTTATGTATTATCAGTGTCGTAGCTAGAAATTTCAAGGGGGGCGGGGCTTTGGTTTATAAAAAAATTTGACAACTTTTTTGCCATTCTTCAAATTGCTATCAAAAGTTGCTGCTTTTATTTAAATTTGGCAGAATATTGTTTTTGCTAAGGAGCTGTGACAGTCTAACCAAAATAGCTGCGTTGGAGCCTGTAACCTTTGGCCTCTGCGCGTGAAGAAGAAATTTCTATTTTTTGATTTAGGATGTGATTTTTTAGTTTTGAAGAAATATTTTTTGTATTCTTCATCAACACCTTAACCTCAAATCAACAACTTTTTATTCTTCTACATTGTTTCTCGTAATGTAGTGCACAAAGGTTTGATTAATATGGGCCTTTTTTTAAAATGAAATAAATATATGGTTGGCTCTGAATAGTGTTTGAAACTTTGGGAAGCTTTTTTGACTGATTTCTTTTAATTTTGATCGGTTAAATAGTAATTAATGTATTATTTATAATTTCTCTCGAATTGGATAACTAGCTGGAATGTAATTCCCAAAACTCGATTTAGTAACTGAGTTTATAACCAAAAATTGTACTATTATTATCATCAATAATATTGATAATTATTATGAATGAAATTAATTAGTTAATAATTGTTATTATTGTTGATAAACTATTATTATTGAAAAAGAATTTTGTCACAACCATCAAGAAACAAATTGGTTCAGGATTTTAATGCTTCTCCGTTTTGTCTCCACCCGTTCTTGCTGATTTCTTCTCAAAATGTGATTTCTTTGAAATATAAATTTTCATTTGAATTATTTGAATTTGGATTATTTATTTATTTATTACTACTAATTTAAATAATAATGATAAAAGTTATTTTAATTAAACCATGGGTGGGCAAACTTTTTGCTGTGAGGGCCGCATTGAGAACTATTTCACCTTTGAAGGGCCGCATACGTACTTAAATAGCAAATTTTTTGACCCGGGAGAGAACTCTTTTAAGATTTGTGGCCCTCTTTTTTCTATTACGACCTTTTTTTGGCAAATATAAAATAGAATAGCTTCGTGAGAGGCCCGCATGCGGCCTACAGGCCGTAGATTGCCCACACCCTTAAATTAAACTGAAATTTTTTCTTACAAAGTTACCAAAATTATCAAATAGTAACGCCATTATTGCTATGGAAAAATGTTCTATACATGCGTGTGTGTGATATTTATTCATTATAATTATTTATATTGATAATAAATAAATAAATAAATAAATAAATAATTAAAGAATGAATTAAATTATTTTATTTTACCTAATTTTGAAAAACATCATTAGCGTAAACGCGATGATGAGTAGAGCCATCGTTCCAACCATTACTCCGATGAATACGGATTTTTTTCTGCTCGTACTTGATTTTTCCATTGTTTCCATCTCGAAAACTGATGTTAAAAAGTGTTTTTGTAGTTAAAAATAACAAAATGAAAAAAGTTTACCAGATGTTTTATAGAAAAAAAGGCAAATTTGTTGTCGCTCTTTTAATATAAAATTTTTCTAATTTGTCGACTGCTAATTTCAATTTTTACCATATTTATTATACCATCTACACTACTTTTAAAAATTTTTCAATTGACAAAACAACTGCAAATCATGATAAGACAAACACACACTGACACGCGCGCACACGCACACACAAACACACACACACAAACACACACACACACAGACAGTAGACCTAACCTTTTTTATTAATGACAGTAATATTGCCCTGCCATGTATCTTGTCCAAAATATTTGCTAATATAAGACAGAGTACATATGCAATTGTACGTTCCTTTGGTTTTGAAATAAATTGATGAGCCATTGATGACATAATTGCTTTCGTCATTTTCGTCGTCTGTGATCTTAATACAGTGCCAGATAAAACCTTTCCTTCGAAGTTTTGTAACTGATGTACATGTTACTGTTTCGTTTACCGCCACACTATTCTTGTCTGCTTTTAAGTTTTTGTCTATATAGGATTTAATTTTTCAGTTTTTAGTAAAAACATTTTTTTTGGAAAATTAAAGGCTATTTAATCTTTTATGAATGCAATTCTTTTAAAGTAAAAATCTCTAGCATACCGTAGCTGTCTCGGTAATATTGAAATAACGTGATGTTGTCTTTGAAGTATCCGGCATCTACTTCCCATACGTATTTCGTGTCTCTCGCCCCGACAAAGTTAAAAATGTTGTAAGGGTCAACACAGAATTCGTAACCATTTTGGATTCTATGCTGATCTACAACTTTCACAAATTGGTCTCCGTTGTATAAAACCAACCTCGACGATGTTAGAATGGCGTCCCCGGATTTCAATAATAATTGGAATGAAAAGCGTGACGTGTTGCAGTACGGCGTTACATCTGCGTTGGAGATTTTTTTGTGACTCGCGTAAAATATTTTTTAATAATTAAAAAAAATGTTTAATGATTAATATTTTTTAAAAGGTTTTCCTCAAAAGTTTGTATAGTTAATGATTTTCGCGGTAATCTACCGGTAAAATTAAGCAAATTGGTATTAAATGTTCTGTGGATTTAAGAACAACAACAAAAATTTGTTAACTTTATGAGAAACTCCCGAACCACTTCTCCTAAAATCAATTTTTTTTTGCTACGCCGCAACCTTTTAAACCAAGCAAGAATGGCGACCCCGTCTGATCCGTTGTTTATTTTATATCTTCCGAATCCGGACAGAACAGTCGTTCATACAAACAGACGGACGGGCGTGGAAAACATAAAATCAGGTCAGAAAATATCGAGGTCGCCAACTTTATCCCTAACCACCTTGAAGGATCAGCAACTTGTATTTTGTTCTCCCATCGGTACACTCGTTCACGAACAAACCCACGTCGTCTTCTGTGAGCGGATTTTTGGGACGTTGACGTTTGCCATCGCCTACTTTGTGCCAGCCTGTTGGCAGCAATAGTAAATATTTTCATGTCACAAGTTTCACGACGCTGCACTAATCCAGATACAGATACAAATGCACGCATTGAACGTTAAAGGCATGGAGAACAATACAATCCCATTGCTCACCATACAGTTTTAATAACGAATATCTTGTATTTATAAATTTTACATTACATTTGAATTTTAAGTCTAATTTATTTTTAAATAAATATTTAAGAAAATGAAACCGTATTTTGGACATCCGTCAACTTCTTCAAAGAAAAAGATTCCTTCTTTGTCGATAATTTCGATGTTATCCGAACCAGATCCACTCCTTACTATCAACAATAAAAAAAAAACAGTACAGCAAAAATAAACTCCACAAGAACATTCTTGAAAAATTTATTTTGTTACATATAAATACTTATATATACATTAATATGAATAATAGAAATATTATAAATATTATAATAATATTAAATAAATATAAATATGATATGTAAACCTGGTTAACATTTATAATGTTTAAAGTTTGTTATCTGATACATACAACCAAATCATTTTATATAAAACTCTTTGGTTGTAACGAGTCTAGCTTTTAAAATTCTAATGAGATTAATGATATGTTATATAGTTAATTCTTTGAAACCATTTCCATTCCATACACAACTTTTTTCAATTGATCTCGCCCAAATAAAAATTAATTTTGATAAGGTTTTTTAGTATGGAATGTCGTCTGATTATTTGAAGAATTAAAGAAGAGTTGGTTAATTCAAAAACGTACGAAATGCCAGAGCATGTAGAACCAAAGAAAACAACACTAGTGCTTCTATTCCAAGAGATTTCAACATTTTCCAGTGTATCTAATATATAATCTTGAGGAAATAATTAATTAAATGTTTTAATTAACAAATAACACAATAAAATGAAAAACAGTTCAGCATAAAGTAGTTCATCTATCCTAGCTAATGAATGTGATCTCAAAGTTTAAGTAAATATTTTTTTTTAATCGTTTACGCCCAGAAGCCGCCATCAGACTTTCGTAAATATTTACACAAACTCAATCTCTCTCGACAACATTGAGCGTATGTGTTCAAGGACAGATATATGCAAGGGTTGTCTTCAAGCCAGTACAACGTGTAGAAGAAATAATTTATATCATACAATTATTGTTTTTTTACTCGCTAGTAGTTATTAATTTAAAAAAAAACACCTGAAACTGTCAGACGTTGGTTGTACAAATTAACAAACAAAGGCAAACGAAGGAATCGCGTTAACTTGAAATAAAATTTATATAAGCTGCTTAGAACATGTCGGTTTATTTCAGCGCACACACTTTGTAACAATGTTTGTAATAAACAAATTTTACTAATGCGGTTCATTTTGAAACGATTATATATGCCATCGTAAGTATTGATAGTTTCTACAGCTAACGTTAATTAAGATAAACATTCAATTAGCAACGAAATAAATCACGATTATTCATTATTTTTCATCAAATTTCTGGTCCATTTTTTGCCATGAGCGTCCATACAATTTTTGAATTGCATTTAGAAGATGTTCCCTTGAAATTTAATCAGTTTTTTCACGTTAACAACAACAATCATTGAGAAGAATAGTTAAGTTCGTTTTTTCAACCTTTTTTCAAAGAGAATTTAGCAGCCAGAAGTAATCCAACTACAAATTTGATGAGCAAATATTTTCCATTCCTCGTGCTTCCACTCCTCGCCCACGTGACAGCTTTCAAAATTGAATATGACAAAAGTGATCGTATAATTTATGAATGAAATAATTTCAAAAAATTACAATAGATCCAACTTTTAGAAAAAAAATTTGGATGTTGATACCTTTCGATGGATAATGAAATTAACCTTTCTTATTTGAAACATAAATATCACCACGCCAAGACCCTATTTTGTCCAGGCTGATGTAATTAGAAACTGTGCACATGCAGTTGTAGGTCCCGTTCGTTTGGAAATAAATGCTCGCTCGAATCACATAGAAATCATCTTCATCTCCCGCCTCCTCTACTTCTTTGTCGTCATCTTTCACGCAATCCCACTCGTACAAGCTTTTACCACGATCTGTCTCGTAAAGACAAGTCACAGACTCGTTGACCTGCACGCTTATTTTGTCCACACTCACACCCGTTTCATCTTAAATGAAAGCATTAACAATTTTTTTTTCATTCTGATGAATATTTTCATAATTATATAAAATGTGTTATAATTCACCGGGGTACATATCCGAGAAAGACTGTAATAGAGTGATGTTTTCTCTGAAGAAGCCAGCATCGATCTCCCAAACAAATGTGTAATACGATAAACGTAATAGGTATCTAGCCCGTACGCAAAAATAAATTTGATTTGCCCTTCTGTCGATCTGGTAATTGTAAACGCCTATCACATTTTTTCTTAAGAATATAAAAATTCTAGAAGAATTTAGATGGCCTCCAATGGTAAATGAAATAGGCATAAAGATCGTTCCTATTCTTATGAACGGTCCAGTATTTGTATAATTTCCAATGCATCGAAGGTATCTCTGGTTTTGGAACAGACCTTCTAAAAAGTTCAATTGACTTTCTTTTTGATAAATTTCAAAGTTAATAAAAAGTAACGTTGAATATTTTAAAACATGCCAAAAAATTGTTTCAATATCAATTATATAAATTTTAGTAGAAATTTGAATATTTTAAATAACAAAAATGACCAAAAAGAACAATTAGCTGATATCTTATTACTCCGTCATGACATTCGTTCTTATAGAAACCGGCGTGTTCCCCATCTGCCAAAAATGACGATGATAGCAGACGTGTGTTTGTATCCATTTTATACCACTCTATTAAAAAAGATAATTATTAAAAAAATAATTGAATTATTAAATTTAAATTAATATTTTAATAAATTGTTTATTACGAAAAATATGTAAACCTCTTTCTGAACAGCCTTCAAATTTTTCGAATTTTACAGATTCATTTTTCCCCAAAATTTTCACGTACTGAGAATATTGGTAAAAGTCAGTAAAGACTCCTCCTATTTAAATTAGTTTATAAAGTTTTTTTTCAAAAAAATTAAAAAAAAACAACGCTTCTGACAAGCTGAAATCAGAATACGTTAAAAATTTAATAACTCACGAAAAAAAATAAGAGATTTTTTTTCGCAATATAATATTTTCAATATTAATATCTCAAAGACAGACATATTTTTGTAACGTTATTTCTAAAAATCAAAAACAACCAAAAATGGTGAGGTTTATTTAAAAATTGTTCATTAACTAAAAAAAAGCAAATTTTTTCCAAGATTTTTTAACCGTGACGGCTTATTAGGAACAGAATTAAAAACCGCAAAACTTTCATCGAATTTGACATTTTTTTTCTAATTTAGATTTTTATTTATTTCGAATAATAATCCAATTTTTTAAATATCGTTCTAATCTAATCTAACAGGCAAATATACTTATCCGGTATAATTGAACGTGTACTTAAAGAAAAAATCAAATTGAGAAATTTCATAGTTTACGCTATTTTTATGTAATATTTTGCATCAACCATACACCCACTAATAATGTAAACTTAAAATTTAACTGATATCAACGTCTAAGTATAAGGTTCTTTTTAAACTGAATTATTTAAAAACAAAACGCCCATTGTTTTATGGTTATAATTGTTTATATAATTTTTTGAATGCGGTTTTTACATGTATATAAAACTCACCTTTTACAGTACTTAATCAACATTAAATTGATTTATTTATTCATTTAAATTGGATTATAAATCATTGAATTTACTCCAAAAAATAAATTCACGGTTTTTTGAACAAACATCGATTCCGCTAAATGAAATAAGTACTAAGTACATCCTTTCAATCATGATAATAAAGCTTGCAGTAGACTAGAAATTACAAACCATTTTCAACCCGTTGAAACAGTTCAAACTGCTCGCAGGGAGGTGGCGAGAAATTTATGAAAACCTGAAGCCGGTCAATTGCCCGAAGGAAGGTAGCGAGAAATAAACTTGAATTCAATCGCTTAGAAGAGAAGGCTAATAAAGTTTTAAAACTGAAAAACATTTTCTGGAAGAGACAAAGCGGGACCCAGTTGTCAGTACGTCGGCAGTGATTAGGTTGTCAATAATAAAGCTATTTCTTGGTTATTACAATATTTATTGATGACTGTGCATAGAATTGTTTAGTAATAGGTATTGAATTTATGAAGAGAATGTGTTTTTAAAAAAAAATCAGTTTTGGTAAATTTATTATACCTCTTTGTAAGCATTTCATTTTTAGCATTTATTTTTAAATATAGACAACAATTTCTTATTTTATTTTATAAAAAATACATTTATAGAGAAATAGAAATAAAATGTGTTTGAATGGCTGAAAATTTGATGAAAATAAATCAAAGCTGTTGAGTTTTAAAAATTGCTGAAAATAAAGATATTTGAGAATAAAATACGATGGTTCCTGATGGTTTAACAAATGTATTGGTATGTAAGCATCTTTAACCTATTCAATTTATTTTAATTTTACCCCAAAAAACTTCATCCAGTAAAATTGATATATACTTATACGGGGACGGACAACCATGCAATTACTCAATCGGGTGATGTTTATGAGATCTGATCACATGTCTCCGGTTTGATCATTCCGTTTACTGAATCCTGTTCTTTCTTAACGCACGTTTTCCTGTTAGTAACGAATAATTTAAATAATTACTATTAATAAATCAATTTACTTGTTTATTAATTGGATGAAAATTTTTAAAAATTAACAATTTAGAAAGAATCTATTGTACTATCTCCAGTGCATACTTATATTACTGTATTAATGTAATTTATACACGAAACGAATGGAAATTTTTGAAGGTAGAGTTTTTTTATATAAACTTTTTGACGAGAACAAGGGTGACGACGATGATGAGGATTAGTGTGGCCAGCAGTCCGACCACCAGACCGATGATGAAACTTTTCTTGCCGCCCAGTGCCACCAGCTTAGTCGCCAGTTTGTTGATGTAAGCTGTGCTGTTTCTATCGCTACCTGAATTTTTTTTTCAATCGTCACAAATTTTTTGATCTCATAGTTCTAAATTAAACTGACTAGATTTTTTGATCTCATAGTTCTAAATTAAACTGACTGGATTAAGTTTTTGTCAGTTATAATAAAAGTTGTATGACCACGATTAAATATACATTTGACTAAATTACTAAAAGTCATCTATTCATCAAACATTTTACCGGACATATTCATCTTAGCAAGGCTATGAGATACCATATTTGATTTGTAACCGTTAAATTTCATTAATTATTTTTATTTTATTCAAAAATTGATAAAAAAAAATAATCCGAAAAAACTTTTAAATTCCGAGACTACAATCCTTCCAAGCCACTCGTCCCTGTAGAAACTTTCATCCAGCAGTTTATTTTCAGCCACGCAAGAGCATTCATACGTTCCATTTTTCGTAAATTTTATGGAGCTCCCGTTAGAAGTGATATGGTAAGTGACTAGAACGTTGAACATCTCTTCTTGCATTGTACACTTCCATGTATACTTGTGAGCCACTGGAGTTCCAGATGATGAGCATGTCACAGTTTCGTTGGTTGACACCTTCTGTTTATCCACCTTTGTGTTGTGAACGCTTTCTAGATTCGCAACATTTTTTATCAATATTTTTTGTTTAAATTTTTTTTTCCAATAAACGTTTGCCAAAAATAGGATAGAATTTTTAAGATTACAAATGGTGTTTACAAAATTTTATCAAAGATTAAAAATTTTGTTAAGAGATTCGTTAGGCTTTTGAATAAGGAATGTTGTAACTGACCATGAGTGATGAAATTAATCCTGAAGAGACTGATTTCCTCTCTAAAATATCCAACATCGACAAGCCATCTAACGGAAAAATTCTTTAAAAGTTCGAAATTTGAAACGTTGACGGCTCTGCTCTTAAAGCCGAAAACTCCATTCTGGTAACTGCCTGGAACTAGCAGCACGATCTTGTGGCCATCGTTCAAGGTTACTCTCGAGTAGTTCAGTTTCTCGCCAACATGAATTTTAAACAGTAAGAAAATAGACCAAGGGCCGGTGTAATTTTTTTCCTCACGAGGTTGTACCCGACCGGGAGGATGTTTATCTGGTAAATTTTGAAATAAATTTGAAAAATTTTCAGAGATTTATTAAAAGTATCAAAGATTTTATGTCAATTAATTCGGAATTAATTTAATTACAATGACCTCCACAGATATGTCATATAAATAATATATATGGCATAATATGTTCTATAAATAATTTTTTATAATAACAAAAAGACGAAAGATAATAATAATAAAACGACGAAAGATAATGATGATATTTTTAGACGCCTACCAAGGACGGCCAGCAGTTTATACTGCATGGTGTCGTTATAGCATTCGTTAGCGTATATGCCTGCGTTGTCTGAACTGGCTACAATTCTGCTGGGACTGTAGTTGTTTGAGTTCAGTTTGTACCACTCTGTTGGCGTGTGAATAAATTATTGTAATGAGATAGCCGTTGGGGAGTGAATAAATTATTATAATGGGAGAACCGTTGGAGAGTGAATAAATTATTATAATGAAGAGCCGGAGCTCGAGTGGCCAAAATTGAGTAATGAAAATTGGAAACATTTTAAACTTGTAAAATGCCATTATTATTTATAAATGTCCTTCCATTATAACGTTTCTAATGGATTTGTACGTTAAAAAGCGCGTTGTAACCCGACCTATGTAATTTCAATATTTTGTAATTATTTGACACGAACAGAACAGTATTTTTATTGTATGATAAAAAAATTTACTAACCATTTTCCGAACAACCATCAATCTTTTTGAACGTGACATTTTCGCCCATCGTCGCCAGCACCACGTTTGAATTATCTGTCACCGGACCATTTGACAGCCAACCTTTGAAAATTTTTTTATCCTTACGTAAAAAAAGGCGGTGATGAAAGACGCCTGGTCCTGTCTTTACAATGATCCAGTTTGAATGCAGTGATCATTCTCGCATTTTGTGTGTGTGTGTGTGTGTGTGGTGTGTGTGTGTGTGTGTGCGTGCGTGTGTGTGTGTAATTCGTCGATGTGTGTTAGTTGGCAATAGCTTGGAAAATTATTTGTAATAAATATCGCAGATTATGTCAGTGGTTTTTATTAGAAGATTACAGGAACTTTTAATTAGTTATTTTTTGTTTGAAAATCATAAAGGTCCTTCGGTCATAGTTTACGGTTACGCGCTAACGTAGTTCAAATGCTGGGAGAGTCTTGAAAGGAAGAAGAAATTGATTATAAGGTTGAAGAGGAAGACAATGAGGCAGACTAAAAGTATCGAAAATTCTAAATAATTGATATAAGATACACAAAATGTAAACTGACCATAAGGCATTATGATGCAAACGGATGATCGGAGGCATACAATTATTAAAAATAAGAATAAATAATTCGACATTTTGACCCAACTTTAACTTTTAAACACGTAAATGTAACAAAACTTACAACTGATTATACAGTTTTACAAATTATCCGCTAGTTATTTCGTTCTATACTAAGCCAATTTTTATTTTTTGAGAAAATCTGAAAAGACTAATTAATTTTAAATATGACTATTAGTATTTATTTATTCATTATATTTAGACCGAAATGTCAGCGTTAACATCGCCAACAACTGCACATAACATGACTAACTGACTGAACTTACAAAATAAGTTCAAAGTCCAAATTGAGTAAAAATTTTTCCTATTTGAAAGAATGTTGGTGAGTCTTCGAATGATTCAACCTCTAAATGATGAATACAATGTTACATTTTTATAACTTTGTTTTGTGTAAAAGAAGCCCAGCTAGTAGAGTATTTATTGAAAAACTTTGAATGCTCAATGTTTTCACAGAGTTATTAAAACATACCCGGCAATGATTATGTTTTACATATAAAAATATAAATAATAGAGACACAATTATTTAGAATGATAATAGAGTGAAGACAAAAACAATAATGGTGTTATTTATATAGAGCTTTATTCGTAAAATAGTACAATCAGATTTATTGACTGATTTTTAATAATAAATTGATTCTAAAAACGTTTATAAGTTAGCTACACGGGTTGGAATTTTTCATCATTAAAACTTCATTACGTCTTTCTGACTCATACGCCCAGTAAAAAACTGACTTTTCTGATTCTGTGATTTTCTAAAAAAAATATTAAATTTAATAACGATTCTTTCATAAAAATTAGATTAATGTAGTGAATAATTTATAATTATGACATAATTTTGATTAAAATTTTAATAATTTACATGTTAAATTATTTGGGTAAATAAACTGAATCAAACGAATTTAATTTTCTGAAATATTAGTTTAAAAAGTCTAGATAGAGGTTTGTTTCGTAAAATTTCAAACCAACAAACACTTACTACGATTTAAAATTTTTTTGAAATTCAAATTTTAAAATATTTAAAATTTAAAATCTTATCAAAATTCAGAACTAAGACTCGAAAACAGTTGCTAAACATTTTGTAAAACACGACCCACAAACCTTCTTCTATATAAGAACCCCACTACAACCACCAAGACAGCAACAACAGCCAGTGAAGCGACCACAAAGCCGACCACAGAAAACTTTCTACCGGCGTTGGTTGTGGAAACTTGTTTCTCATTAATTCCTGTGGCTACTGTCGCTACTGTCGCTTTTGTTTGACGCCCTCTAATCATCGTCGTCGTCGTCGTCGACTTCACTGTGGCGACTGTGATTTCTAAACGTAATTTCAAAAATATCATTCTATAAATATAAATAATATTGATGTTAAATTAACATTTTTTAAACAATTTATATGAAGAGAATGAAAAAGGAATGTTGCACATAAAAGAAAAAGAAACTTATTCAAAAATTAGGAAGAGAGAAAGATGGAAAGAAGTTTTAACAAGTTTTAAAAAGTTCAGTCAGTTCTGAACTCCGATAAGTAATTAAAGAAGATGAAGTATGTTCCAGAAAAAAACACCAAAATCGACAAAAAACATATTCTTAAAAGTTTTAAGTTTTGAATATTTTTCCAGACTTTTTAAAATAAAAAAATCAAAGTTTCCACGCCCGTTTAACCTTTGCCCTTTCTGACAGTTATGGTTCCGTGCCAATTTCTCTTGAAATTTTGGTATAAAAAATATTTTTCAGCCGTGCAGATACAATCGTACGTGCCGCATTTCGTGAAATAAACGACCGCGTCATGTACCACGTAGTTGCTCTGGTCGTCATCATGGTAGTCGTTGTCAGTTTTTATGCACTTCCACGTGTAGTCTCTGAAGCCGCGTCCATGTCTGCAAGTCACTTCCTCGCTGATGTCCACTTCTGTTCGATTGACAGCTTCCAAACCTACTGTCTGGTTTGGTGTTATGTCAAGTTAGTGACAAGTTTTAAATTTAGTCGGTGCAAATTTTTGGTTTGATTTGCTGTCATCGCATTTCATGGTTTCATTCGCTTTTAAAAGTATTTTTTAATGATTTTATCTGGTTTTCCAAAATTAACATTCACAATTTTAACATTCACATTCTTAGTAGGATTAAAATCAATTTACGTCATTAATAATAATTCGCTAAAAAAAATTTCAAATTTTGAATAAAAAACTATCAACTCACGCCAAAGCTTGATGGTCAGGTCAAATATGGTGACATTCCCTTCAAAGAATTCATTCTTTACATACCAGACGATCGTGAACCTCTTAGGGGCGTAGTAGTTGAGTGAATGTAGGTAGTTATGCGAGAATAATAACGAAGTCTTGTTGTTGGCACCTAGCTTGTACTCACCTTCGTATACTCTTAAAACATTTTTACCATTGAAGAGTGTTAACGTGCTAGCTAGAGGCTGGCTGCCGAGAGTAACATTGAAATGAATGTTGATCGCCAGCTTGTCGCCCTCTTGCAATGGTATGTTGGGGCCAGGTATGGCTTCAATGAAGGAACTTGGGCCTGTATGTTGTTCATTTGTTCATTGATTTGTAGGGATTTTAATTGATTTATGATTGAATTTTTAGTGGAATTAATGTATACCAAGCTAATAATATCTTTTAATATTTGTTTGTTTGTTGCATTCATCCACTCGCTCATTCATCCACTAGTTCATTCATCCGCTCGTTCATTCATTCATTCATTCATTCATTCATTCATTCATTCGTTCGTTCGTTCGTTCATTCATTCATTCATTCATTCATTCATTTGTTCGTTCATTCGTTTCGTTCGTTCATTCATGTTTTCCGACCTTCTACAGCTAGCAGTCTGCGAATCATTGGAATGTCGTGGCAATCGTTCTTGTAGATCCCGGCGAGGTCACTATTTGCAAAGAACTTGGCACTACGGTGGGTGTTCTTCTCTTGCTCCCGCCAGCCTTTTTGAGTGATTTCGATTTTGCATTTGATTTTAAATTTGTCTACTGAGAATTTTAAAATCGTAAATTTGAGAAAAAATTGAATAAATTAGTTAGGAAACTACTAACTTACTCATTCATTTGTCCATTCATTCATCCGTTTATTCATCCACAAATTCACCCATTCATTTATTCATTCATTCATTCACTCATCTACCAATTTACTAATTCATTCGTTCATTCATTCAATCATTGATTCATACATTCATTTATTCATCTCTTCATCCATTCATTTATTCAATAATTCATTCTTTCACTTATTCATTCATCATTCACTCCTTCATTCATTCATTCAAACTTCTTCACTCGTTTAAAAATTACTATACACTCTTCCTACAGACCTTTCCTATCGCAGCTCTCAACATCGTCGAACGCAACCAAATCACCCTCCCTGGCCATGATTATGTTTGGACTGTTTTCAAAATCATCGGCAGCCATCAAGCCTATATTTTGGTTAGAATTCCATTTCGATTTCAATTTAATTCAGTCGTTTTTGTTAGTTATTTAATTTCATAGTGGAAGGGAATTTATGTTAAATCAAATGTCACTGAGTGTCGAAATGTAAAAAGTTTTAAACTTTAAAATTTCACTATTGCTATATCCCGGAAGTTATGTGATAATGTTTTGGAGGATTTGTATAATGTTGCCAATTTTTAAGTAATTTAAAAAAATATTACGAAATAATTTCTAAATTAAGCATAGGAATTGAATTGGAAACGTCACCAAACCCAAATACACCAACCAATGAGTAGCAGGTAAGAGATCGCTAAAAACAAAATCGGACGAAGCATCATCGGCATTGAGTCAAAAAACGTTCAGTTCTAATTTCGAAAAACTAAACTGATCCAAAATGGAAATCTACTGAACTTTCATACGTGCAATTCTAAAATCTTAACCAAAATCAACCTCAGTTTATTCGTCAAACTGTTGACTGTTTTTATTGGTCGGATAAGTCAAATGGACAGAATTCAAAGTTTAATCATTGGTTTTTCATGGTCTATACACCCACAATATTTGATGGATCTTTTGATGTTTGTTTGTAGTAGGCCAGTGCGTGTGCGTGTGTGTATGTTTCTGTGTGTGTGCGTGTGTGTCTCTATCTGCGTGTGTGTTTGTGTGTGTCTCTATCTGTGTGTGTGTGTTTGTGTTTGTGTGTGTGTTTGAATCTTTTGGCCTAGATATGTGCGTGAGTATGAGTGTGTGGTATGTGAGCATATGATTTATAGCGAGGCGTGTAAAATGTGTTCGCTAATAGGTCTGTGAGGTTGTATGTGTTTGTGTTTAAATTTCTGTTTGTTTGTGTGTCTATATAGACGTGTTGGTGTGTATGTGTGCGTTCAGCTCATGTGAAGTTTATGTTGGATGGAAAGTTTTGCCGAAAAGTGCACATGTGAAATTGTGTGTTTGTTGCTGTAACCTTGTTGCTGCAACCAGGTATCTGCATCCGACCTGGTTAACCCGAGGTATTCACGCGATAGGATGTCTAAAACTGTGAAAAACCAATACATACTACTAAACTTATCGCAAACTTGTCATCAGTGATCACTGTAATGTTTATTTGAAGAAAGATATGTTAGAGAAGTAAGATAATGAGTCGAACTGGTTGGTTGGGCGTGAGATCAATGAACTTTTAGTTGTCAATCAATCAACACTAGCTCACAAACGTTATCTTCACACACACACACACCACACACACACACACACACACACCACACACACACACCACACACACACACCACACATACACACACATACACACACACACACACGCTCACACAACTTTCAAAAATAAATCTATCGTCACCTAGTACACTTACTCATAAATTTAACGTAACGAGACAAATTAAAACGAGACGAAATTAAATGTAACAAAAATTCCAAGAGAAATAATGTTACGAAGAATTTGTCAAGTTTAGCCAGCCAAAATTTGTGCATATGTAAGAAAATTTAGTTTGAAAAAAGATTTTCTTAAAATTTTTAATTACCATACTTTAGATCATATCATTTGGATAACACAGTAAAGCATCCTTCTTATGGATCTATCTATTGGTAAAAATGTAAATATTATAGATAGATCGTTTGTGTGTTTGTTTGTAGGTATTTGAGCGATAAATGTATGAGACGTATTTCCCATCTTTTGAAAATGAAATAGAAATTAAATGAACGAAGCGTAATTTGTTGGAAAGGTTCCTAAATGAAGTTTATTGTAATATCTTTGCCATCTCCTTTTCTTTTTTAAATTAGGTTTTCTGAATCAACAAAAAAACATGGAACATCATTAAGGAGAAGTTTATTTCTCAAAAATATTTTTTCAGTCGTTGTACAATTTTAAAGAAAATGTTTTCGTAAAATTAGGCAGGTTAATATGTCATATCAACAAACATGTACACATACACACGTACATACGTACGTACATACATACACACACATACATACAGACATGTATATAGAATAACAGATTTTAAAATAAATATATAAAAATAATAATTCGTATGAAAAATTTATTCAAAATTTCTTCAGCCATTTTCTCGTCAAAACCTCAACCTTCTTATAAGTCCGCTTCTATAAAAACAAATTATTAATTTAAATTTTTTTTAAATTAATGAATGAACGAGTGAACGTAAGATAAAACAGATAATTGGATAGATGAATGAATGAATGAGTGAGTGAGTGAGTGAGTGAGTGAGTGAATGAGTGAGTGAGTGAGTGAGTGAGTGAGTGAGTGAGTGAGTGAGTGAGTGAGTGAGTGAGTGAGTGAGTGAGTGAGTGAGTGAGTGAGTGAGTGAGTGAGTGAGTGAACGTAAGATAAAACAGATAAATAAATGAATGAATAAAAGAACAAATAGAAATGATCCAATGAACGAAACAATCCTATAATATAAAAAATTTTGAAAAATTCACGAAAATTTCTAAGATGTCTATTGAAAATTTATCCTCTACCAAATGCAACATTGAAAACCTGAAAATGTTTGCAACGAAGAGAATGAGAGTGATAAGAATGAAGATGGCAACCAACGATCCAACCACTAGTCCGACTCTCGACTGCCTACCTCCACTGCTTTCTGAGGTCTGCTTATTGAAGATCGTCGTCGTATTGGTGGTGCTGGAGTTTACGGCGTTAACCACGAGCTCTTCAACCACTACTATATTTCAATTTTTACTCTTTTTAAAAAAGTTTTTTGGAATGCTTTAAAAAATTTTTATACAATAATTTTAAACATCTTCACTTCATTGTTTCACCATTTGAAAAAAGATTGATTTTATCAAAAAAGGCAATATTATATAACAGTTATTAACTGTTCACTGACAAATCAATGAACAAATGAATGAGCGAATGGAAGGGTGAATCAATAAATTAAAAAAAAGAAGGAATGAATGAAAATGAATTGATGAAACAAATTTTCCTAACAATTCCAAAGAAATTGCAAACACAACTAAGACCTACTCGGCGTACTAAGAACGTGAATATTGCCATCCCACGACTCCTCTACTTGTTCAAACTTACTCAGAAACCCTTCCCAATAATCGTAATCAAAATAGAGGATTAAGCATTGCAAACTGCATGAGCATTTGTACGTGCCCTTCTCCTTGAAATAAATATTTTCCATAGAAGCTTCGTAAAAACGATCGTGATTATCGTCAATGAACTCATTATCGTCGTACTGGAAGCAGGTCCATTTGAATTCGATGTTCCGAGTGCAGAGATTTTTCTGTACACATGTAACTCTTTCCTTAACTTCAACCGTCCTTTTATCCACATCAATGTATCTTTCTGAATGTGTGTGTGTGTGTGTTTGATTTTCATTTGACACGCAAAACATAATTGATGTATTTCTTTATATGCTAAACTGGTTATACGTTTATAGAATTACGTTTTGCGAGTTGTATTATCATATGAAATGAAATTAATTTGAAATTTTTCATTTCTACGCTTTTGTGAATTAAATCGTGAAATAAAAATTAAAAAAAAATTTTTTTTCTACTTACGTCGATGGTCGTAGACGAAGTCTAGTAATTTAACTTTCTCCGAAAAATGGCCGACTAGGTCCACGTTCCAAAAAACTTGCACCTGTAGGGACCTCCATTGAAAGAACATGTCGGTCACACGGTCGAAGATTGTCTCGCCGTCGCGTTGCATGCCGTCTACGTAGACCTCGTGTCCTGGACTACCATTCAACGTTAGCGAGTGAGTCACGTTCGTTTGGTTGCCTACGTAGATTTCTAGATAGATGGTTAGGCAAACTGGATCCGCTATGTTGCAGCTTGAAGCCGGATCTTAAAAAAATTTGTGCAGGAGCTTAAAAAGTTCATCAGGATCTTAGAAAAATTTATCGGAGTCTTAAGGAAAATTTACCAGGATCTTGAAATATTTATACGGATCATAAGAATAATTTCGGCCGATAGTGATCGTTCATTTCGAAGAGTTTGATTCTAAATCAATGTTTAACTCAAACAAACAAACCTTTAAAATGTTACAATTGATAAATTAGATGGACTTTTAATTTTTGATAGAAAAAAATAAATTTGTAAGAAATTTTGTTCAATTACTTATTACAGCCAGAAGTTTGTATCTTGGACTGCCATTGCATTCGTTCCAGTATAAGCCAGCATGACTCTTCTGGGCAAAAAATCGTCTGGGCAGTCTCTTATTTGAGTCAAAGTTGTGCCATTCTTCAGTGTTAATCAATTAATTAATTTTTAATTATTTCATTGATTTTGGAGTTTTTTAAATTAATAATTTTGTAATTAAATTAAAAAGGCGTTTATTAAAATTAAGAAAAAATGTATAAAACTTTCAAATGAACAGGAAAAGAATTAGTGACCGCGTTCGGGACATCCATTAATTGCCTCGAGCGAAACGTACTCGTCCCTCATTACGACTATCACGTTTTCATTTTTCTCCAGGCCGCTTTGGCTAAAACCTTGGCATATTTTTTTTTTGAAAAATTTGTCGACATTATGACATCAAATACACAAAATGTGTGTGTGTGTGTGTGTGTGTGTGTGTGCGTCTGTGCGTGTGTGTGTGCGAGTGTGTAAAGCAGTTTTGTTTCGTATCATAGAGCTGCTCATAACAAAGAACCAATAAACTTATTGAATAAATTAAATAATTAATCAATTAATTCAATTAAATTTTTCAGACTAAACTGAATCTTTGATGACGGACTTTCTGGCCACGGTAGTGCATTTGTAATGCTTAATTTTTTTTAATTTCATTAAAATGTTTAAAAATAAAAATTGTTGAATTATTTTGAAGAGATCATTTTAAATAGATGAAAAGATGAAAATAAAGTATATACACCTGTTGACGTTACACAACAGAACACCAAAGCAAGCGTCAAAATCGCCTGAAACATTCTGCTCCTAAAACTTAAATAAAATTAAGTGAAAAAAACCGACAGATAAATTATAAATTTTAAAATTGTAAATCGCGTTTCACAAAACTTCGTTGCTTAAACAAATTATTAAATAAATTTAAAAAAAACTGACACCAAGATAAGGAATTAAAATGTATCCCTCGGTTTCTCAAACTAAAATGTTAAAACATTAACTTGCGCTTCGAACTAATGATACCACATGTGATCTGACTTGACATGCCAATAATATGGATCCAGGAATGAAATATCTATGCCGAAGTACAATTTTCTTCTTCAAATAAATCAGCATTTCTTGTCTTATTCAACGCCCATTATATATATATATATATATATATATATAAATAAAATAAATAAATAAATATATAAATAAAATATATATAAAAATTTTATAATATATATAATCGAATTAGACTCTGGCAAGTTTTAGAGTATGGTGTGGCTGATTAAGTTTTGGTTTGGGATGTGTGTGTGTGTACATAGGAGACATAAAAAGAAAAATATAGAAAGAAAGAGAGACGGACAGGTGGGCAGACAGAGAGAGAAAGAGAGGGAGAGAAAGAGAGAATTACATAAAGATGGGAGACGAAAGAAACTAACACGTATATTTACACACGATTCTAAAAACACTGTTGATCTCATGTGATAAGATATCCAATCTAAAATGTTAAACGACCTCACAAAACACCTTTTGAATTTGTATCAATTCACAATTAAATTTTACTTGCCAGGTATTTTTTGTTTTTTTTTTTTTGGCTAGTTATAAATTCTAAATGAAAACCAAATGTTTACATCAAATGTTTGTTGACATCCTCAAACGATCATTGTTCATCTCAGTTGTTCATTCTAAGTGTTCGTCACGTTTCTGTTCACCATACACAAACGTTTAAGAAAAAAAACAAAGCATTTTACAATAACCAGCTATTAAAAAATTAACTAAAAAATGATCCCAAATAAACAAACATCCATGTTACGAAACGAAACAAAATGTACCGAACCTGGCCAGCCAACAATTTTTACAAGTTAGATTTTTAATTAACCTCTATCGGTTTATTTTAAACATTGCCATCAGCCTAGAGAAATACCATATTTTTTAACTTGGTAGTAAAATAGCTTAGTGGTTAAGTGTCTGTCCCTTGAGTTGCATTGACAGGCTTCGAACGCATAGAGATCCTTACCTTTCTGTGATTTGCTTTCGTATGCATGATTTATGTCTCACTGGTTTCGCGAAATTGGCGCTATATAAATGATATACCATCTTTTTTCCGGTAATACAAAGCAAATTTTTTTCAAGAAAATTTTATATTATTTTCTAAAAAAAAAATTAATTGTGAAGTTATAATAGAATGAAATCGTTTAATAACAGGTTAACAATAGCAATGACACATCGGTTTCGTCATCACTTAATCGTGATGTCATGACTTTTTGTTGATGTTTTTGCTGTTGTTGTTGACGACGATATTTGGTTGTTCATTTTATTGACGCTGTTGAGAATGTTGTTGATACTGTTGTGTTCGGTGGTTTTTTGACTGATGCTACAATTGATGTTTTTGATTCTGCTCCTGTTGAAGTTGTTGTTGTTGTTGCAGTTGTTGTTGTTGTTGATGTTGATGTATTGAATGTTGATGTTTCTTGAATGCCCCATCTTTCTGCTTGAGTAGGAGTAGTTGTTGTAATTCACGTTGTTGTTGCAGTTGCTGTTGGAGTAGTTGATGCGTTCGTAACGCTAGTTCTTTTCGTATCAAGTGTTTCTGTTGTTGTTGTTGTAGTTGTTGATGTTGTTGTTGTTGTTGTTGCTGTTTTTGTTGTTGTTGATGTTGATGCTGTTGTTGTTGTTGGGCATTTTGTCGTTGTTTAACGTTAGATTGATTAAGTGCGTTGTCAAATTTTTTTGGAAAATTATTCAAAAGTATATTTTTCAAAATGGAAAGTTTTGAAAGCATAGTTCGATTACTGAAGTTGTTTGTGTTGTTGTTGTAGCTTACGCTGTTGTTGTTGTTGAGGATGACGTCATGTCGTTTTACTTCTATGGTTGTCTTGTTAGAAATATTTTTTGAGGTATGCTTGATTTTAACGTCATCAACCAACCAAGGATGGGACGCCCTATTATTTTTGTTGTTGTTGTTGTTGTTGATGATGTTTTTGTTGTTAATGTTATTTAATAATTTAATGTTATTTTTATTCATTTGGTTATTATTTTCTTTCGATCCGTGCATGTTTATTTGGTGGAGGCCTTTGTTTGATTTGTTGTTAATTTTGTTTGGGTTGTTGCCAATGTTGTTGCTGACATTAATGATGTTGTTGTTGTTGTTGCCATTGTTGTTGTAATTCTTTCCCGTTTTTGTAGTGGTCTCATTGGGTATATTTGATGCGATGTGTTTGAATTGAACATCATCAACAGCCCAAGGACCATGCACTATATTTCTGTTGATGTCTTTATTGTTAATGTTGTTGTTGTTGTCTTTGTAATTGTTGTTGTTAAGTTTGTTATTGTTTATGTTAATGTTATTGATGTTTTTGTTGTTTGTTTTGTAATTATAGCTCGGTCTGTATTGGTTAAAATTTTTCCCTGGTTGGAAAATATTTTTTGATTTGTAGTAGTTGTTATCGTTGGCCATATTTTTGTTGTCGTTTGTAATGTGATTGTAGTTAAAGTTGTCGTTGCCTAATTTGTTGTTGTTTGGAATGTAATTATTGTTGTTGTTATTGTTGTATATTGCATTGTTATTAAGAGATAAGCTGTTGCGATTGTTGTTCGTTTTGTTGTCAAAGTTTTTCGAGAGGAAGTAGTAGTTGTTGTTTTTTGTGTTTTTGTTGTTGTTGCTGCTGTTGCTGTTGTTGTTGATGTTTTTCAACTTGTTGTAAATTATTTTTCTGACGTCGTCGTCAATGACGATGACGTCACTAGTTGCATTTACATCAAAGTGTTTCCCGTGTTTTCCGCCGGTATTAATTTTGTTTTTGCTTATCTTGTTGCTACTACTGCTGCTGCTGCTGCCTCTGTTGATGGCGTCATACTTTGTGGTTGTTGTGGTTGTTGTTGCTGGTTGCGATTTTGTGGCTGCTGTGCTAGACACTGTAGTTGTCGTTCCTCTTGTCGTGGTTGTTGATGTAATAGTAGTAGTAGTAGTAGTAGTAGTAGTAGTAGTAGTAGTAGTAGTAGTAGCGGTAGTAGTAGTAGTAGTAGCAGCTGTTTTTGATGTTGTTATAATGTTTGGTTCAGTTTTTATAATAGTGTCAACGTTATTGTAAAAATGTTTGTTGTTGTGGTTGTTGTTGATGAAGTTGATGCTGTTGTGGTTTTTGTTGTTGTTGTTGTTGATGTCATTGATGTTGTTGTTAATGTTAGAATCTATTGCCGTTTTGGGTGAGATTTTTAAAAAATTTTTGAAACCCGAATCATCAACAATCCAAGGATGAACGTTGTTGTTTAATGTGTGTTTGTTGTTGCTGTTGTATTTGTGGTTGATATTGTTGTTGATGTCGTTGTTGTTGTAATCGTAGACATTTTTATTGTTGTTGCTATTTGCATTGTTTAAATTGCGATAAGCAAGATTATTGTTATAAAAATTCCGGTTAATATTGTCGTTATTGTTGTTGTTGATGTTAATGTTGTTGTTGTTGTAATCTATGCCGTTAATTTCATTTCGTTTCTTTGTTGTTGTTGTTGTCAAAACGTTTGAAAGTTTTCTAAACTTCATGTCGTCGACAACAATTTGTTGGAAAAAATTTTCGAAAGAGCCATAGTTGTTGTTTTTGTTGATGTTATTGATGTCATTGTTGTTTTTGTTGTTGTTATTTGTTTCGTCTTTGATGTTGTTGTTAATGTTGTTGTTGATGTTTTTGGTAATGTTCTTGTTGTTGTTGTTTGCAAAAATTTGGTTGTTGTCATTCATGAATTTCAAGTAATTTTTGAGGTCGGGGACATATCTGCCGTTTAAATCTGTGATGTTGTTGTTGTTGTTTTTGTTGATGTAATTGTTGTTAATGTTATTAATGTTTTTGTTACTTTTGTTGCTGATGTGAAAACTTTTTGTTACAGCAAAGTACTCAGGGAGTACTTTAAAAAATCTCCATTTTTGAACGTCATCTAAGACATGCAAGTCGGAAAGATTTGTTGTTGTTGTTGTTGTTGGTGGTGGTGGTGGTGATGGTGTTGTTGTTGTTGTTGGAATGTCGTTGATGTTT